TTTTTCATACTTTTTTCATTTTCAAAAATTTTCTTTAAAAAAAAGGACAGTAAAATTTTTAAGATTTCTGAAGTCGACATTTTTTATTTAAAACTGTCTTATAAGATTTCACAAAATCTTTTGTATATTTTTAATGATTTTTTACGATCTTTACTATGAAACTTCATAACAAGTTCGCGTATAAACGAGAGCTCTTATTGTATTTTGGAGTGTACACATATTATGTCCTTTTTGGCTAAAGATTTTGTAAAACTATGAGAATACGGAGTGCTGTGTTTCAGGACAGAGTAATTTGCGAAGTAAATAAGACAGCCGACGAACTGCCGAAGTTGGGGGCGTGAGCCGGCATTGCAGTAAAGGACTTTTAGATGCTTCCGCACTTTGGGGAGTTTAAAAAAAGCTTTTTGGATGAGGAAACTTGATAGGAGTACTTTTTTTTACAGTGGCGGTTGAACTTATGAAATGACCTGGGTCCTGTGTACGAAGAGGAGCCGTGCAAGAACGAGGGATCTGCTGGCATTGAGCAAGGGGGATCTCAGTATTGCGGTTCGCATTTTGACGAGACACTTTATTGAGAAAGATGCCAGAAAGACTAGACATTTCCTTTTCGGATGTTTATCGAGGATGACGAGACATCGGTGTGGTGGAAGATGTGCATGTGCAGAATATTGATTTGATGGATTTGAGGAGCACTAGATCCATGTGTGACCTGCTGAACCTTGCCAAGGGACTTAGATTGATTTAGCAGGGAAAAAAGTGTTGTAGAGGAATGCCAATAGTGCTGGTTTCAGCGTTTAGGTTGTCACTGCCCTCTCTAACTTATCTAAACTAAATCTCAGTATATACGGAAATAATGTAGGTATGTAATTTCTTTAAAAGTAGAATTCCAGTATTGGTATCAATTTTGTTAATTGTATAAGTTATTGTGTTTGTGGTGTTAGACGGCTAACTACTAAATTTAATTTAAATTGTTATTGTGTTTTAATGTGTTTATAGTTAATTTTTTGTTTTTTTTTATACTGTACTTATTATTTTGTGTCATTAGATTTTAATTGTTCATTTGAAGTTACCAAATCCTGTACAAGTATTTAGAATGAACTTATATTGTGTTTCTCGGAACAAATAAACGCAATTATAATTAAAATCGCACTTTAAAATAAATTTCCCGAAAACTAAATAATTTTATAATTAAATTATGATTGCATATAATTAAAGAAAAAGTAAAAATCTATATATGCCCATTAGCTCATTTTATATAAAAATCTATAAATTATAATTACATACTCAAATATGGGAAATTTAATTGTATTACATACAAGTGTGTATAATGATATTAATTAAAACAAAAGAATTTGTTTTGTACATGATTTCACTTGTTCACAAATGATACATTTTAAAAAATCTTGTATATTATCTAAATTGACATTTCAATATATTAGTCATAATACTGTTATATTAGTAAATTTAGATTTAGACTGTATGGCATTTATACAAATTATTTAGTATAATATTATAGTGAACTACTTTAGTAAATAGGACATCCGGGTAATTACTATTCAAATGTGTGTAGTACTTATGACCCGGATAGTTAAAGTTTTTAAATATATTTGTTCAATTTGTTGTTCAAAAATACATTGTTGTACAAATTTATGCATTTTGCAAATTTTAAAATATACAATTATCCTTTGAAAGAAGGTCAAATTAATTAAGTTTATTATTTCATGTTCAGTTATAAAAAAAGTTAGAGAAAGTTAAATATGTATAGTGTCAGCATGTCAAATAAGTCTAACCCAAACCAATGATTTGTAAAATAGAACATTTACTTTAAAAACAATGCAAAAACATGTTTTTTGTGTTTTTTATTTAATGTTCATTCTTTTAATATTTTTTTTTGTATTTTATTGCATACTTTTAGGAGGACTCAAAATAAGAAAAGGAGGAAATAAATTCGGGAGGTTGCTGTGAAAAGAATTGTTGAGTGCTAACTTAATGAAATTTTTTATCAATATTTATAAAAAATCTACAAAAATTTCGACTTTTACTGCCTTAAAAATTTGCAGAATTTTTGATGTTTGTCAATATAGTTTTGGCAATAGCACAATGGAGCACTTTTTTGAAATACCGCATTTATGGGATAATATTTATACTTATCAAATAATATATTAAGGAATGTAAGGAAGTAAATTAATCATATTTGTCAAGACAAGTGTCGATTAGATTAGATTAGATTAGACATGGGGTAATAGTGCACCGTAACATAAGAGATGAATCTATTATGCCCCCTTTCACATATCACGCCTAAGCGACTTACTTTTCTAACAAATTCGAGTATCTTGTTGAGATCGACCTCTCGCAGCTCTCTTACTGGGTGGACGCGACCAACAAAATACCCTCTTCTCTGTAGATCAACGCTTCACATTTCTTAAGAAGGTCCACCTACGGGATCTCCTCTTTTTCCTCACAGAACCTGCAAGTGCCTTCGTCTTCCAGACTCAAACACCTCAAATGACCTTTGAGTCAGCAGTTTCCCGTTATGTCATCCGTGAGCATTTTTACCTGGTTTCTATCTATTCGTATTATTTTTCTATATCACTTTTGATTATAATTAGTCAAAAGCTCCTTGGCTTGCCTCAGAACCGGACACCGACTCACTATAACTACGACCTCGCCCATTCTACCTCCTTCTCAAATTCCTCCGACTGACTCATAATTTGTATTTCAATGCCTAGACAATAAAAAATATAAAAATCTCTTAGTGTTCTGTAACCACTCAAAGTTTCACAAATACTCTGCTGTGTGTAAAATTTTGGCTTAGATTTATATTGTAGGGAGTGTTGAAGTTTTTTTTAAACACAACGCATTAACCGACAGATGAAGTGAATGTACTTAATATTGTCCGTTCAATATTTTTAAAGATGTGATAAAAAATATTAAAATTTTCAATTACTTACATTTAACCTCATTCTCAAATGATTTCGAAAATAATTGTTCGAAATTAGAGTAAATGCTAAAAAACAAGCTGTTAATTTCGGAATATTAAATTATTAAACTAGCATTATTTACAATACTAGCCTGTATAACTATTTTGATTTCTCACAATTTACTCATTAAAATTGAAAAGACAGAAAAGTAATAAAACCTAAAAATATAGTTCTCCTATAAATCCTTATTTTTAATAAATATTTGCTTAACATAATAAGGGGCGTATACACACAAACATATTTAGACATAATCATAAATTATTCTAAAATTCTTTATATATAAATATACAACAAAGGTAAATATATAATACATACAAGTATATACATACATTTATATATATATATATATGAAGAAGTAAAGATAAAATTTAAAAAATGAACCTATCAGAAAGTAGGTGAAAAACTCAATAAAAATTCTAATGATCCTTCATCATATAATCTTCACAATAAAAACATAAAAAGAACGAAAACATTTTTGTTTTCTCTTTGCTAACTTTTTTTTTTCTGTTTTTTACCTTTTTTTCTAAATATTTTTAATCCTACTTACTTATATTTTTATATAAGTAAATGTCTACACCTACAGGCATATTTAACATTTATATACACACATTTTTTCCTATATTCACAAATTGTTGGTACACCTTTTAAATACCTTTTAAATAAAATATGTATAGGTATGTATGCTTATATAGACATACGATCATTTGTTTATATTATGAGAAGATTTAATGATCGCATCTGCATTTTGGCTCTTACAATAATTGTACTATAAAAATATTTTTATTTCTTGCTGTGATGCCTATATTTTAATAATATTGTTATATACGTAAATATGAAAGAATGTGTATACTATAGTATATATTGAAATGGATTCATAAGGATATAGCAACCTACATATATATAAATTTATGCATATCTGTATATATTTGTGATAGTAGACATTAGTATTATTGAGCTGGGACAAATTTTTCTCTTCTATTTTTTTCTTTTAATATTTTATTGCAGCAAATAGTAAAAATTTTAAAAATTTCATTACAGACAGATATATAAATACATATTTACATATGTACATATATCAAAAGTAGAAATGATCTGAGAAAAATATTTTTTTTAAAATTTTTATAATATTCACTATTCACTGTATAGAGATGAAAAGAGCCTACATATTTTATTTGCATATAATTATGTATTCATATATATACATATATATACAAAAACATACAATAATATATATATATATATATATATATGCGCATGCGTACGTATATATTTTGCTTATATAACAAAATTTATTATAAAACATAAAAATGTATTTAAACAGACACCAACATACTTTCGTATTGTATATTGCGAGAACATACCCCTATATGTATATATACAATAATAATAGCCACTGCATCTTGCTTTATACAAATTTTTTATATATACAAAATATATTTTTTATATTATGTATTTTAAATAAACGTGATTAACACGCGGTTTTTTATTTAAATGTGTTCGTTTGTTTTCTTTAAAAACAATAATAACAAAATTTATATATAACATAATACTACATAAATTGTATATAAGAAACAAAAAACACAATCTCTTTAATATTAAATTCTCTCATTATATCTCTTTGATTCTCTTCCAACTACAAATTCTCCTCAATAATACAAAATTTTATTGTATTTGTGTTTTATATAAAAAAGAAAATTATAGAGTAAAAGAGTATTTTTTTTTTTTTTTTGTATATAAAATATAATAATAATAAAAATTTTCTCTTCAATCTCTCAAATGATCTTCTCAAAAAATCAACAAAAAAAAAAAAACAAGAAAATAAAATTTTACGATTTATGTTTGTTGTTTTTGTTTTTCTGTTTTCTTCAATTCTTTACATAATATACCCAGGGAGTATAAAAATTTTTTATAGATCGCAGTGCACGATCTTATATACTTTGTAAATATAACAGAAACAAAAAAAAAAAAGAAAGATTTAAGCTTATGACTTAACGAAAATCCATTCATAATCTCGTTAACATTTGGGTGAATAACATCGCTCAAACAAAAATTTTTTTTTTGAAAAAAATTAAAAAATCAGAATATAAAATAAAATTAAAATACGAAATAAAAAATAAATATAAAGTGAGTAAAAATAAGTTGAATTAACATAAGGTTCGTTATTAACGCGAAAATTTAAGAAAAAATAAAAAAGGAATCGCGTTACTTAACATTTGATTGAAAAAATAATCACAAAAACGAAGAGAAAAAACAAAATTGCTTGTCTTTTTTTTATTTTTTTTTTTTCATTCGACAATTTAATTAAAAATTCAAATAACGTTTAAAATTATTACGCATACAATTGCTAATTTTAATTTTTTTTTTTTTTGGTAGTTTTTTCGTTTATTATTTTCTTTAACTTTAAAATTTTTGGTGAACTTGCCTTTTGGTTTTTTTTTTTTTTATTAAAGCGATCAGATTCTTTTGATGGTTCTTTTGAGTTCGTAAAATTATCATTTTTTTTTTCGTTTGTTTCTTTATCACCGGAGAGTGTGTGTTCGCTATTATTAACGAATTCATAAATATAAAATATTTTAATTTTTTTTTTTTTATTTCATTTTATTATTATTTTTTTGACATATTGTATATTTACATATTTACACATATATTAATTTACAAAAAAAAAAAAAAAAAAAGAGAAAAATTGTATAAAATAAAGAAGAAGAAGAAGAAAAAATAAAAAAGAAATTTCAAGTGTCAGTGACTTTTGCGGAAATATTTAAATAATTTTTTTAATATAGAGAAAGAATTAATAAAAATGAAAATATAAAATAACAAAAAACAAAAAAAAATAAATAAATAAAATTGTAATTCGCGTTTATTAGTGAAAAGAAAAACAAAAACAACAACAACAATAATATTAATAAAATTGTGAATATTTTCATAAATAAAACAACATAATTTTACTAAAATAGAAAAAAAAAAAATATATTAAAACATAAACATTAATTTTTTGTTTTTATTTTTTCTCATTTCAATTTTTTTTTGTTTTTTTCTGTTCAACAAAAACCAGATAAAAGTTATATACCTACATATCCTACATACATTAATAATAACAAGAACGAAAAATTATCACATTTCATCATGCCTGAAATCTTAGATCCAACTGGTCAATACTAAAAAGTAAAGACCATTGCCAAGGCAATATATAAATACTTCTGCACAAATATATTAAAAATATATACATACATTTGTATATATATATATATATATATACAAAACATCAGAAAAGAAACACAGAAAAAAAATTTAAGAAGTAGAAGAAAAACAGTAGAAAAATAAAAGAAAATAATATATAAAAGAAGAAGCAAAAGAAGAAGAAGAAGAACACGACAAAAAAAAAAAGGGAAAAATTAATATTTTTGCTCTCAGCTGATTTTAACTTTGATATGTAAGTATAAGAATACATAAATGATTTGCATAACATTTGCGCAAAATAATTTTGTGTTTTTAGATTTTTTTTTTTATATAAGCCTAAAATAATTATGTTTAAATGTATGTATTTTGGTGTATATAGTGTTCCTTTGATCTAAATTATTAATTATTATTACTAGTAAATTATTAAAGAAAATAATATAATAAAATAAAATTTAGTTAAATTTGTTTAAGAATTGTAGATAGATTAAGAGTAGTAGGTAGATAGAGAAAATTGTATATAGATAGATAAATATGTAAAAAGAAATTCGTTTTTTTAGTGAATTTCTTTTTAGTTTTATAACTTAACTTTGTTATACATTTTAATGATTTCAGAAAATAATTCATGCATTTTACTTAATTTATACCATAGTTTTTTTCAATTCTTCACAAATAAATTAAAATAGTACATTAGGGGTTAAATTATTTATATGATAATTAAAATGTTATTATTTAATTTTAACTATACACTATACAAAATGTCGCTCAGTAATGCTTGACATTCAATAAGAAATTTTGAAATCATTGATTATATTATTAAATTAGATTATTAAATTTTATAGAACGCCTAAATATATGCTTTCGATGCATTCAATAATTTCTTCTCACAGATTATTTATGAATATTACACTTTTTTTCATTTCAACATTTTCTTTTTTAAATTATATAGTAGAATTAAAATATAACAAATTTATAACTTTAGCGTAATTGAACAAAATTATTTTTTCGTACGTAATTTTCAGAAATTATTAAAAATATGTAAAATTTTGTTTTAGAAATTTATGATCAAAATTTGTTCCACTTGTAATTTTTGGTAAAAAATAATTTTAATAAATTTATAATTTAAAAATATTGTAATTTCTCTAAGAAATTAATCTAATAAATGCTCCTACGAAATTGTCCTTCTTATTTAAAAATTTTTGGTATTTGTCGGCATATATTTGTTAATATATTACAGTTTTAATAATTATTTTTGTAAATATTAATTTAGTTTTAATCTTGTTAAAACAACAAAAAGCGGCTCAAAGAAAATTCGTTTCAGATTACAAATTGGATTTAAATGTAAAAATTATTCTAGAGTGTAATTTTTTTTTTCAAAAACGCAAATGTATTTAAATTTCCTAATTGCCATAATTTTTCTCATATTAATTTAATTATATTAAAAATGGAATACTCTTCACAAAAATAAAATCTCAAAAATGAGAGTGCAATATTTTAAAAGTTTCTTTGATTTTCTATTTATCATCAAGAACAATTTTTTTTTTGTATATAATTTAGGTATAATGAACTTTTCTATTCTCCAAATTTGCGAGAATAACAACAATTTTTAGTAGGTAATTTGAAAGAGAAATAAATTTTGTAATGTTAAGAAAATTTCGCCTTGAGTTCATTTTGTACTTTGTTCATTTACTCTGCATAAATTCTTTCTCTGTAACTCGCACTATAAAATGACGTTAAAATGTTAAACGAAATTTTTTAATCGTATAAAATAATTTTCAGTGGAATTTAATTAAATTATAATTTAAAAATATTTCTTTGAATATATTAAAGCTAGTTAATAATTTAATAATTTTATTTACAACTTTTTACTTATTTCGCTCTTTGAATTTACTACGATTGTATTTAAAATGAGTAACAAAAGTTTTCAATAATAAAATAAACGCCAACGAACTCCAAATCAAAATGAAATTTTAATCTTTTAATCATTCGTGACACAAACAAAATTCAAATGAATTTTTACAATTCAATTCCATTGATTTGAATTTAAAAAGAAACTTTCAAAAAAAAAATTTTTTATTCATTAATATAGGTGAAAGTTTTCATTTTTCACGATAATCACCATACTACAACCATAAAATAGAGAAATCAGACCTTATTTCTTTTCATATTTTCTTATTTTCTTTATTAATATTTTTTTTTTTAATCTGAAAGTTATTCATTTTTTAATGAAATTTTGTTTTTGGTTTTTTTTTGATGAAAAGTGAAATTATTTTTTATTTCTATTTTACCCTTGTTTGTATATTTTTTTAATTATACTTTTATTATGACTTATGACCGTAATAAATTGACAGATCATTATTAAAATATTAAGTGCAGTTCAGATTTAATTTTGTTATTTGAAGTTTTTGAAGTTAATTGAGAAAAAAATTTGTACAAAATTGTATTTGATTAGTAAAATAATAAAATTGTTCGAGAAAATGGAATTAATTTAGAATATTGTTGAAAGTTTTGAATTGCCGGAATAAATGGAATCTGTTGACTATTTGATTCCAACAATTTGATTGCTGGTGGACTTCAGTTAAAAAGTCATGTTAGCTGAATTGTTTACAGAAATAATTGTTTTATTTGTACTATGTTACTTAAGTATACGAAATTTCAATAAGATGTAAAGGCTATTTCCAGCAGAATTACAGAATTTTGGTGTTAGAAAGAATAAAATACGTAACATATGACCCAAGTTAAAGAATTAAACTTAACTTTTACAAAGGTTTTTGTGTAATAGAATTTGTTCTCATGTATAATATTTGGCGTTTAGAATATTTTGAGTACATAACCTAATTTATGATTTAATTATTTTTATACCCAAGTCTTAGTATTCCATGTTTAGCAAACTTGTTAGACTTAGTATTATGTTAAGTATATTTCAATTAGAATCTAGAATCACTAGACTCGTTAGAATTAACATTATTATTGAAAAAAATAAATTAAAAGGCCAGGTATTAAATATTAAAAATTTCTCAAGTTTAAACTTTAGAATTACAAATATACTCACATACATACATACATTACATATTTCGAAATCTAACCAAAACCCAAATATTTTTCCAATATTCAGTCAAAAATATGAAAAAAAAAAAAAATTCTACAACATTGTAGTAATTTGAAAATAAAATAAAAAAATTTTAAGAAAGCTTTTCATTTGACAAAGGCGATAAGCAAATGAGGTCAACAACACTTTTTTTTTTTTTTTTTTTTAATTTTCTGTATGAACTTTTTATTAATTTTGTTTTTTTCTTTATTTTTCAGAGCTATATCGCAGTCATCACAATATAACCTTTTCATTATAAAAAGCGTATGTAAGAATATTGTGTGTGTGTGTGCCTTAACAGTTTTCATCAACATTTTTAAGAAATTATCTAAGAATCCAGCAATATTTGATCGTCGTCGTAACTCATCAGACAGAGGGCAACAAAAAAAAATATATGAAAGAATTTACAAAAATATATACGTACAAGTTTATGTAAATACATACATATTTTTTTTTTTGTGGTATTTAATGTAAATTTTTGGTCTCTACCATTTCTTTCGGTTTATTATTTTCTCTTTTTACTATTTTGTTGTTTTTGTTATTAATCTATTATAACACGTTGCTGTCATCATCAGTTTTACCATCATATCGTTTGTTTTTTATATGCTGAGAGGCTACTCTAAAAGAAATCCATTATAAAAATAATAAAATAAAAAAAAAAGAAAAGTAAAAATTAAAAATAAACTCTTTTCTTTTTATTTTTTCTATACACAAAACATCAAAAATACATTTACGAAAATTTCTGTGCTGTCGTCGTTTTCGTCGTTGTCGTCGTCTTCGTTACTGTTGTCGTCTACGTTGTCATTAAATTAAATATTTTTTTTTTATTTACTTGAACTCTTCTCATATTCTTTTATAGCATCTTTCATTCAATTTTAATGAAAATATAAAAACAATAAATATTAAATATTAAAAATAAAAAACAAATTAAATTATTACATACCTACAATTATACATAAATATTATAAACAATATTTGTAATTCTTTAAATATATTTAATAAATATTAAAAGATAAAAATCTAAATTCAAAATGTTTATATTAGATCCAACTGGTCAATATTAAATTTTTATTAAAAAAAAAATTCATTTAAATATTTTCTTTATTAAATTTTATATATAACTTTATCAAAATGTTGGATCCTACAGGAACATATTAAATTTTTTACTTTTTAAATTTATTTTATATTTAATATCTAAATTAACAAAAAAAAAAAAACACTCAATTTATTTCTAAAATAAACATTAATAAGTAATTTTAATATAGAATTGAAAATTAATTGAAAAAAAAAAGAAGCAAAATGTATATTTTAGATCCAACTGGTACATATAAGAAACCAAATGGTTCACAATCAAACGTATCGTGTACCAGTAAAAAATATTATAAATCACAAAATTGCAGCTTTTTAGATCCAACTGGCCAATACTGAAACAAAACAGAAACAAATTCCGAAAATTTATAATTGAATTTTTTAATCATCCTTTATAACGAAAAATATACGAATACAAAAAAAATAAATAATTTTATATTAGAAACAAAAGATCCTTGATAGAGAAGGCCATAAATACAAAAAAAAAATAACAAAAAAAGAAAAAACCCACCAACACAACCACACTCAAAAAAAGAAGAAAAATTTTCCTATTTTCTTTTTTTATTTTAAATTTTTTTAATTTTGTTTTAGAAATTTTTTTTTTTTTTGTAATGGTAAAAAATTTTTTATTGTTTTAAAAGAGCAATTTTGTTATTTTTGTTTTTTTCATAATTTTAAACTTGATTAAATTTTGTTTTTTTTAATTTTAAATATTCTACTACAAAGAAACTTTACACTGCCATTTCTTTTTTTTTTTCGAACGAAAGAAAAACAAAAAAGAAAACATAGAACAAAAAAAAAACAACCTATAAAAAAAAATAATGAAAATTAACTGCCTTTAGTAACTGCCTGCGTTTTGTTTGTTTTTTTTTTTGAACTGGAAAAAAAAAACAAATAACGTAAAAAATAATATGAATGAATTGTTCACACTATTAAAAAAAATTCATTCAAATTTAATAAATAATAGAAAAACCTCAACTAATTATAATTTTAGGATGCGTTGGAAACGTGTCCGTGGCCGCGAGGAGACTTCAAGTTGTCGTCGAAGACGAAAATAAATAATTTTGTTTTTTTTATTTTTTTTTTTTAAATAAATAATTAAACATTTTGCTTTTTTTTTTTTTTTTGAATTTTATTTTGGAACAAGTTCGAAAAAAAAATATTAAAATTAATTTTCTATATACAAGCGCGTATCTTTTATTTTTAATTTCAAATATCGTATTTTATATTAAAATCTATTTCAATTAATTATAAATCTGAAAATATTTAAACAAAAAAAAATTTATAAAAATAAAAAAAAAAATTTATATAAATTGACTTTATTATTATAATTATTAATTATTATTATTATTAAAGATTATTATTTAAAAAAAAAAGGAAAAAATTAAAAAAATTAAACAATTTTATTTTATATACCTACATTTCGTATACCTATACATTTTAAGTTTTAAGCAAAAAAAAAAATTCATTTTAATGTTACAATTCATTACCATTTTAACTCTAATTAATATCTTTTTCATATTTCTACTATTTTTATTATTAATTCTTAAATATTATTATTTAATTACTTTATCACCAGCATAATATTTTCATATACATACTTACACCTATATCAATAATTGAAAATTATTCAAGTATTATAAAAAAAAAAAATAAATATTGAAATATTTCAAATAAATTATAATATTCACAATAAATATATATATATATATATATATATATATATATAAAATAATTCACAATAAATATTGGAAAATTTTTGTTACCTCAGTTTTTGTGTTAAAATTTTACTAGTGTATAGAAGCACAGTGTTAGTAATTTTATATATTATAACTGTTTAAAATATAATATTGTTTTGGTTTTATAACAATTATACTCAATATATATATAGGATAAATATTATATGATTTCACTCTTTTTTCAGATACATAATCTTACACCTCTCTTACACCTTAAATATACACAATCTTTTATTAATTAATTAATTAAAATTATTAAATACATATTATGTAATTTTTATTCTTAATTCTTAACTTATTATTTATTATACTATTATAAATAATTAAATTACATAATTGCAATTTATTAAAATTGAGTCTGTTATTCACTCATAATTAAATCATTTTTTTTATTTCTCGCTCATAAATAAATTCACTCACTCACAATAATAAATTTAGTTCAAAAATTAATTCAAAGTTCATTGCTCATTTTCATTAATATATCAGAAAAAAAAAAAATGAAAACTATATCAATTTATATTTTAGCACCTTCATTATCAATATCATCATTAATTAATAAAAATCATTAATCAATAAATTATATCATACGCATCACATATATACATATACATATACATATTTTTCATTATAATATATACGATTTCTATAATATATATATCTACTATATATTTATATTAATATACATGATTATACTATATATTAATTAATTGTACTCAATATTAAATAAATTATATTCATGTTTAGATTATATCGGAAGAAACTGTCACGATTTATAATAACAACTTACGTACATATTATTGTATAACATTAATTTTTAAATGTACAACAACAATTCATTAAAATATTCCGTATCCTTCTTCAAATATAACATTATTTCTATAATAATAATATTTCAAAAATTTTCAATAATTAAAGTCAAAAGCTTTCAATTAAAAATTAAAATTATAACAAAAAAAAAAAAATTGTACATACACGGAAATTTTTTTTTACTCAAACCTACATTATCAATTAAAATTGTAATATATATGTATAACAAAATATTTATACATTAAATATTTAACAACAACATTTTATTTCGTATACATACTAAAGTGTAATATATAAAAATAAAAATATATATGTATAAATATAAACTATGCAATAAAACCGGAAGTCTACAGATATTCTAATCTACATACATTTAGATTAAATAAGTATATTAATATAGTAAAATAAAAATAAAACTGTTAACGTAAAAGCTAACAACAAAAAAAAAACAAAATTGTGTTACAGCGAAAAAAAAAAATTACGAACACCAATTTTCATTGAGATTTTAAGGAACTTTCAAATTAATGCGAATATAATATGACGGCATAATAATTTGTAGCATTTATAATATTCCGACACTTAAGCCTCCATTCATACATATGTATATATTATTTATAAAATGCATGTTTTTATAAAACAAAACAAAAATAAAATAAAATAAATAAATTGCATGTTAAAAATCTATTTGAGAAAGAAAAAATAAGAAAAGCAAAAAAGAAAAATTTTGAGAAAAAATATTCGTGCTCAACATTTAAAAAAAAAATAAAAAAAAATTGCAATTTATACTTAAAAATGTGAACTTTTTTCTTTGAGTATAGCAGTAGATCGTTGCTCTTTTATAACAGCAATTTTAAAAGAATTAATTTAATTACATAAAAAGAGAATGCTCTTTATATTATATTTAAGCTCTTTGTAATATAATGCTCAAAAAGAGTCTGCTACATTTAATCTCTCTACAATTTACAATTGAATATTATTATTTATGCTCCTCTCAATTCTGAAAGATCTCTTAATTAAATCTCTTTATTTAATTATTTTATTTAAATTGCTCAGAAATTTTTTTATTAATATTAAAACGATAATAACATAAAATTGAAGAGAATAAATTTGTTTATATGTGAAAATTCAAGTAAAATAATTCATTTATTATAAAAACTGGATTTATATTGAATAAAGTTCAGATTTTCAGATTTAAAATATTTTTAATGCAAGAGAATATAGGGAGATCATTCATATCGGAAGAGAGAATTTTTCGTGTAAGTGCATTATTTTATAAGTTTTCAGAGAAAAACTTAAGAATAGGAAAAAACTCCAAAAATATTTGCTTTTTCAAGTTTTATTTAAAAAAAAACGTTGATTTTTAATATTTTTTCTATTTTAATGCAATAAAAAATAATTAAAGAGAGACAGTCATAAATCCGAGAAATTTTCAATTTAAAGAATTTAATTTTTGAAATTATTATATAAAAAAATATTTTCAATGAAGTCAAATTAAATTAATCATTTTTAAATTATGAACTTACATATGTGTGTAAATAATATGTTTTTAAATGAGAGCAATATTTAGAAATTTAAAATTTCAATTAAACTTTTTTAAATTATATGATAAACTCCACTTTTACAAATAAAATATAATAATGCATTAAAATTTTACATCAAAAATAATGATTGACATAATAAAATTGTTCATATTAAAGACATAAATTGAGAGAAAAGAGAAAATCAAAACAAGAGCATAAATGACAACCAATAAAATTTTGTCATAAAAATCTCTCATTGCAAAAAAGTCAAATTAAATTAAATATTTGATATTTTAAATATTTTGGGAAGAAACTATTAAAATTTTTTAAATTATTCAATGTTTCAATAGACTTCCAATATTTTTACATAATTGTACGTTTATTTTTTTACAACACTGTAATCTACAATTTCTTTCTCTCTGACAACACTCAATTTTAAAAGAGAGAATTAGTTTAGTTTTTTAATATAATTGCATAAATTACTACTTAGTATACAGATATAAATCTACATCTTCCGTATTTATCAAACAAATACACAAAAATGATTTATTAAAAAATTATTTTTGTAACCAAATTTTGAATAATTAATGAAAAATCTTGGACACTGTTTTTGTTCTTATTTTTAAATAAAGTTGCTCCACAAGAGAAAATATTATTGAAATTTATTTTTTTAAATTTTAGAAAATTTTGTTTAATAATTTAATTTCCATATTACACGAATATGCACATTAAATTTTCTAACAAAAATTATGAAAATTATTAAGAATATTATTGAGGCCTTAT